TAATATTTTCCATTTCTGTTTATACCAAAGTAAGCCGCTTTATTCACAAATCGTAATTATAACATAACTTTCCGTTATGAACAACTTTTCTTATTAACATTTTTTTATATTATCAAAAACAAAAACAGTTTATTCTTCAACGTTATTAATTTTGTTAAATTTCTGATCACCCTGTATATATATAAATTACAGTTTTTCATGACAGCTGTATTCAATTGAAAAGCAAAATATTTTTTGTCACGAATTACTTTTTCTAGTAGAATAGAAAATAAAAATGTTTTCCCTCTTATCAACTAACCGTAGATGCTAATATAGGTATATTAATTATAAATTATGGTTTTAAATAAACTAAAAATTGTTTATATTTCATATTTTCTAAAATTATATAATAGTATGGACTTGCACTGTTACTTATATATTTTTATACAAAAATATATCTAAAATGATCATGACATTCTTTAAATATTTACGTATCAATTAACAGAAACCATGACTACCAATTCAGAATCAGGTTATACCAAATTAACCACATACAACAGCTGTTCGTTAAAAATAGCCCGAGTCCATTCATAAATAAATTTTTACTAGTGCGACATCTATCACAAATCAAGCGAATTAAAAGTCGGAGATAATGCTATTCATGAATATTTTTTAATAATTTTATTCCAATATAACTTTTTAAATAATAAAGTGATGAACAAACTATGAAATAAAGTCTAATCAGTTTATTTATTTAAAGACAACTATATAAAAAATTGCATAATTCTACAATAATATGAAGAAATAATCGTTTCTTTGTAAAAGTCCAAAAAACCTTCATATTTAGAAATTAATTTCTCACGAATTATTTACCTATCCCAATTAATGTTTGCTTTACTGTCTTCATTTATACTTTGGCAAATGTGATATGAAATTTTACTACTTTCTTCCATTGCTTTAAAAAGATATATTGGAATTAAAAAGGGGCTGTTTTCTATCATTTTTCGGTATAATTTAGGCAACCAGAAATGCATCAGTTTCCCGTATCAATTTCTGTCCACACCCGAAAAAATCATAAATAATCACAAATTATTTTGACATGTGTTTTATGTTGTAGAACATAAAAGTATTTTTATTTGGTGATAAAAAAGACTGGCTGTGTTAACTGAAAATTTAACGAAAACATCGACTTTTGATGACGGTTTTCGAAAAAAGTATAATGGTTCATAATATGGTATTACATCCTGTACATGATTTGCTAAATTTTTATTTTTATCACTGGTGGTCAAAAAATCAATTATGAAATTTTTGTGGTTATTAAAATAATATTAAATTTAATAACGATTTTTGGGTTTTAATTGGCATCAAACACATTAAGCCTGTGTCATCTTAAATTAGTCACATCCTGCAGATCACCTTGCCGGTTTCTTTGAACTACTGCACCAACGAATTCGCTGTACATGACGTGCTTTTCTTACTGTTTAATTAAACGTTGATGCTATGCAAAAAAAATAATTCACATCGTTTTTTTCCAGACGCCATAGTTATCTAACCATTTACCAACGTGGATAGTTTTAAACGTCTACTGCATCTAGAACTTCTAGGTGCAATGCTGTATACGGCAATGATATCTATAATATGTATGGCTGCCAAGCTTAACCGTATACACTCCCTGAAAACCAGTTTCATTTGAACAAGTATAAGTAATTTTTTACAAGGAATAAATTACTGACGAAATATATTCCACAGTACCACCTAATTAAAAATTAAATCACACCTACGGAGTATGACTAACTTGTTTGCTTTATGCCTAAACTATTTCCTGATAAATATGGCACGCCTTTTTAAACCATTCCTCTGGCAAAGCCAATAAGACTGGCAAGACAAAATATGTTTGTCGTAAGCGACTGCAATATAATGACTTATGGCTAAATGAATATGTCCAGCGCGTATTTGTAATTGCTTCGTTTGAATTAAAGGTCGATAGTGACCGGTTCGTCTAGCTGGTATGGCAAGAAAGTGTACAAGGTGTTTGGTGTATACGTACTTGTATTTTTTATAACACCATTAAAAGGTGTTATGCGCCGATTTATAAAATAAACTTAGGTATACATTTTTGTAAAAGAATTTTTTTATATACAGGGCGTCTCAGAAATAAGTGTCAACATTTTTAATACGTTTAACATTTAACTCAAATTTAAAGTAACGACTTTTGTTTAACAATTTTTTTCTAAATCTCACATTTTTCTCCGGTACTTTACGTCCTTTAAAATAATGCTGCCTATGAATTAAAGAAAACTTAAGCAATGTATGCGAATCTTTTATTAAAAAATGTTTGTTAGGCTAAGTACTAAATCAGCACTAACTAATTCATTATTATGTTTTAGTGGCAAATACCAAAAATTTTAAATTTTAAAAAATTTTATTTTTCTCCAATCGTCACAAAACTGACATTTTTTGACTGTCAAAAGTCTCTAAGGCTGACATTTTCCTTACTGAGAAAACAAATGGTATCTTAGCAACAAAAGTACTCACTTTTAATCCTAAGAGCTAAAGTTGACACTTTTAATCGACAGTATTTACAATAATTCTTNCTTAGGGGGTTGAAGATTTTGGTATGCTTTTTGAGCCAAAAGTTGTCCCCCTCAGAAACAAATTTGACCTGTTTTTGGATTTTGCCGAAAAGTTCTTTCTTATCCTGTAATGCCTTGCGGTACGTTTTCGATGGACTACCCTGTATATCAGTAAGAAAGGAAAGGGGTATGCATGCATTATATAGTTTTACCAACACCTCTAACTGTTGAAATTATTCCAAGACAGTTCCAAGCACAAGTAAATTTTTGACCTCATCCCAAACGTTTTATTATGAATTTTTTTTAATAAAATTGATATTGTGTTGACCAAAAATGAAATGTTAATTATAATGCATTAAATTTAGAAGACATGCTTTTAATAAGTAGTATTTTTTTCTTTTAATAGTTAGATACGTATTTAAGTAAGTGCTGGTTTAGTATATTTTTTAAACTAACTAAAAATTTCCCAAATCCGATGCTGGACTATGTCATCAGAAGGTTACAATTAATGGCATAAAATGTAAAACAGTAACAGTAGACTTTAGAAGTTTCGTTGATCAACCAAAATGAATACCTCGTGTTCGTTATTTGTAACCTTAATATTATTATCATACATAAAAAATTGTGAAGGTTTATGTAAAAATGTGAAAAATGTCATCTGCAAGTCCGTCAGTGAAATTTCTCGACAAGTTATAAGTAAAATACCAAACATAAAGAAAGTGACACGTTTAGAGGTTGTATTCAATACTGAGTTGGAAATACGCCCAAGATCATTTGAATCTGCTGTAGAACTACAGTGGCTTGTAATTAATAGCAACAATTTTTACCAGATATACAGGGACACTTTTAAGGACCTCCCGTTAATACATTTGCATTTAGAATACAACGAAATTAACACTATTGAGCCTGGAGCGTTTTATAACTTATCTTCCCTTCAAAAGATACGATTGGAATATAACAATTTAGAAACAATTCCAATAGGAGTGTTTAAGAATCTACCAATACAGGAATTGGCGTTATCTAAAAACAAAATACACACCATAGAAAACATGGCACTAGAAGACCTGCCAAATCTGAAGAGGCTTTTTTTAAATGAGAACAAGCTGCAGTCGATATGTATCCAAGATGTTTTAACGCACCCTTAAAGGATCCAAAATCTTTGGTTGCAGAACAACTCTCTGACAGCTGTTACGAATTTTATGTTGCAGGGGTTAGAAAATGTGATAACATTAAATTTAGCAATGAACTCCATCTCCTTCATAGAATCAGACTCTTTCAAGCAGACCCCAAATCTGAAATATCTCGTTCTTTCACATAACCAACTCAGAGAAATAAACGGGAATATATTTTCAAATGCTGCGACAAGTAATTTAAAAAAACTTTATATAAATGACAATAAATTGATGTTCCTCCCATTTAATTTCTTTGTTCGTTTGAGAAAGTTCAAGAATATCGTTATAGCTGGAAATCCATGGTACTGCTCTTGTTTGACTATAGTGGAAATGCAGCCAGCAGAAAATGGAATAGTGGAAAAGTGCAATGAAAAGTATAGTAGTGGGGAAAGGGCTGTCTGTATAAGCGGGAGTGTTGGTGAGAGTAACTGTGTACATTTATACAATGACGATGTCAGTGGAAGATACGAAACTTATAAAAGAACTCTTCCTTTGCCGAAGAAACCAGTAACATGCACTTTCTAGATATTGATGACAGAATATGAATGTCATAATCTATTATTATCTCTATTTAGACGAAGAGATATGTTAGTTTTACAATTATATAACAGCTAATTATTTGAAACTAGGTACAGTAATAATGCTGGTAATAAATTGGTAATATTATATGTATTGTTAAGAAATTATTATTTTAGATTAATTTAGGTATTTGTTATGAATTATTAATTTTGCCAATTTTGTGTTATGTATTGTGTGTTGCGTTATTTTGTTTTTTGTTTCTGTAATAAAATTTTTCTTTATTTTTCTTTTATTTTTGTTTTGATTAACTGTATATTGTTCAATACAAACCTTTCTTTTGTTTTACCTTGTACTTTTTCTTTATTCCTTGCTAGCTGTTACTCAGATGTTTGTTTTATTTGAGATCTCAGGAGTCGGTTCTATATCTTTCATACATAAACTAGTTCAATGCAGCACGCCAGAATAAATAAAGTTTTTAACATTTAATACAATATTTATTTAAATTTTTAGTAGGATTTTTCAAAAAACAAAACCAACTTGTTGACTTAAATTGTGAATGGCTTCTCTAGATACTAAATTTTTTTGTTTTAACAATAATAAAGAATATTTTATTTATTTTTATACTGTGCTTTTCATTTAAAAAATTTTACTATATTTGTAATTACTAATTAGTGTTAAATATTCTATTTTAATCACTTGTCCGTGTATTGTTTTGCCTATCGTAAAATGCATACTTTCTTATTATTTACAAACTGAAATTCATCTTAAAATTAAAATGGCTGTCCCTTTCATAACTTTGTTTGAGCTCATCAAATTTTTGGAGTTTTTTAAAGCTATGATTAAATTGCTTGTATTCAATTTTGTTCAGGTAAGTCCTGTTGTTATTATTTATCCTTTTTCGAAGGTTTAATGCATTAGTAATGTATTATTTTTAGGTTATAGCTAGCAATATTATTATAGTGCACTTTATTTTTCAATTTTAGGTACCTGTTACCTGCTACTTGCATCTTTCCTTGTTGGAAATTTTGTAGATGTCCTGTATACCATTTATGGGGCCACTGGAAACCTCTCTGGAAACTGCTTTATACTGATTATGGAAATTTTTTCTTCGATGGCAAATTTTCTTTCTCTGGATTTTGAGAACAAACAAATTTCTATCTTGCTGGTGAGTTTAATTTACTTCCTTGACTGTATTTCTTGAACTTATTTAAAATTTATTGGAGCTGCTTCTCTCCTTTCTAGTTTTTTACCAAAACCCAAGCCGTAACTAATCAATAAACTTTTGTTTCTCCTTCTTTCTGGATTTTTCTGGTCTTAATTTTTCTTAAGGTCCCTTCACAGAAATCCCAGTCCTTGGATGTCCTTTTTTTTAACAACACTTTTCACTGCAATTCTTATAACTAATACATTTGTTACAAATGTCCTTTTATTTTTAACATACAATTCTATTACTAATTATTAAAATATTCGTTATTTTATGTTCTTTTTCTAGGTCATCTCCAGGTACTTGTAAAGCCAACTTTAGTTTTGACATTTGAAAAAAATTATAATTTAATTTGACATTTGATAAAAAAATTTCATGTATGACTTAAGTTCATTTAAGATATCTTCTATACAGTTACTCGTCTTCCCAAAATATGCATACCAGATTCATCTATGGACATTGGCCTTTTATTTGATATACGTCACTCTAGGTTTAAATTCTGTTTTCTCACTGTACTGAGTGTTAACAAGTGTCGATGTCATGCATTTTTTTGAAAAATTTATTTTATACTTGTGAATTAAATTAAAATTATCAATTTTATACTATGTGATCTCCTTAATTGTTACTTATTTTATATTCAGAATCTTTATATTAACAATTTTATAATATTTTATTGTTTGCTATATTAATAATTAATTTTTATTTATGATCCAAAGTTCGGTCAGGTAACTTTTCATTCGTGTACATTTCCAATTCGTTACAGTATATGGCTCATTTTGACTGAAAATTCAAAAAATATTCTTGACTTATTCATGAGAAAAATTTGACATTGATGTGACTGCTTTCTTTTGACGATTTCTGAAAAAATAATAAACGGATTGCTTTATCTGCATTATAGGTAATATTTATTATATTTGTTATAGACCGTGAGCTAGCGCAAATGGGTGTGGCGTCATCGAAAAATGTCTGGCATTTTGAGGTATGAAAACGGTAAATTAGTTAATGAAAATAAGGGTGGATTTAAGGGCCGACCTTTGTTCGAAAAATTGGAAAATTAATTTTCTTTTGCATAAAATAATTAGTTTTTCACTCATCTTAAAGTGTCTGGCAGTTGATGCAAAAATAGACATTAATAAGTACCTAACAATTTTCAAATGCCAGACGGTTTTAAATAGCCGAAAGGGTGGTTCATAGGGATGAACTTGCACGAAGAAAAAAAAATCATCGTTTACTTTTTGTCTGGCAATCGAAACAATGAAAATTTGTGTTATGAAAATGATAAAAATAAATTGCCAGACGGTTTCCAATGTTTGGAAGTTGAGTATCTCTGCGGAAAATCATGTGAAATTTTTTAACATTCTTCAGTGATCACTATTTGTCTGGTATCTCGGGTACTTAAAATTAATACCCATATTTCTTGTCACAAAAAATTTGCCAGACAAATTGGAAAATGGAAAAATTGTGCCAGACAAAAGAAACATGCTTAGTCGTCAAATAAGGAGAACAAGAAGTTTTCTGCTATATTTATCTCGCTGTACCAGGAGATGCATGTACTATAAAGTATTTCCAATGAGGCGTGTAATTCTCGCCATTTTATCCACAATTCAATCTCATACACAACGCGTTACCATTAAATTAATAAAATTTATCTCATCCCACGTAGGTAGGTACGCCAAAGGGAAATCGTGAAATATTATAAAAGTGCAAAGGTGTAGCCAGATATTAATATCTCGAAAACAATCGTTAGACACATTTCTATCCTTAATCTTCAATGATCTATAATTAGTTTTATTATTCTGGGTATGGGTACAAGGAATTTATGAGTTTTCTTATTGCAGTAATAAATATTTTTCAAGGAATGCACTTTCTAGTCATTGCAAGGATCTATAGCCTTGGTGATAAATATTTCTTTTAATATATTCTAAGCGGTACAGGAAAATCATTCACGCAATAGACGCGCCTACACTAGCCTTATTCTTCTTTAAAATGTGAGATTATCATTACATTTATTGTTAGATTCATTATATTACGATATTGCTAAATGTTGTATATTTATAATTAATGAAGGTGTTAGGTTTGGAGAATATTAATATTTGCGGAATTCATATTTTTGTAAAGATACTTCATCAATTAATTAATTGTTAATATACATATAACTTCATTACATTATTTTTGAGTAGGACATATTTTAATTAAATTAAATTACTTTCTATTTTACGTTACTAAAGACAGTAGAAAAATATGTGCACTTTAATAAAGGTTATTAAGCAATCTGTACAATAGTTTCATATAGTTTGAAATAAAATGTCAAGGTAACGAATACACCTATACATCCTCTTACCACATCCACTCTCATTCAATTCTATTAGCAAAATTGTGATATATTTGATACAAGGTACCGCATAAAGTAAATTAGCTTACCTTAAAGTATGGCTCAGGTAAGTTGATAAAGAGTTACTTTCGAAGTTTCATATTCAGCGACCTGACCCTGTAAAAATAAAAAATTGTTGAATTTAGTAACAATAGATATTCATGGAAGTGGAAAAAAATATGTTTTTTATCAAACCCATTAGTTACAAGATGTTCCGAAATTAGCCTCGATTATTTTACCACTAATAATAAGAAACAAAGCCTATATGAGCATAGACAGAGAAATGCTTGCTATGGGAGTGACAAGTTATTAGGCGAGCCCTTAAAAGTTGTCTTTTTTCTAAAAACTAAATGTTGCTGGTAGGTTTTAAATATCAAAAACTTATTTAAACGTTTCAGTCAGAGGTGTAGTGGTTAAATTTTGCTCGTTATTTTATACGTGGACTTTTCCACTGTTTAATTCCACAATTTATTCATTACGAACACAACGCCAATTTCTTTATCAAATATTTACGTTAAAAAATTAAACAGAAATTATCGCAATATGCTAAAGTCGAGACACTTTTTAAAATGCTAGACTGTTTTTCAGTAAAAAATCATGGAATAATAAGGAACTATATAGAACCATATAAAAAAAAACAATACTTGATCAAAATAATAACTAAATAAATCTTTAATTAATTTTTTCCTGTTATTTCCCTAAAAACTTATTATTTATAGCATCATTACGTTTTAATACAATTTATAATTTTTAACAACCACTCTTGGAGATTTTTGTGAGTAGTCAAATATAATAATTATTATTGTTTCTTTCTAAAAATCTGCGTACTAGAAAACTGGTGTAACATTTCGTGCCTTGTGAGCAGTAAATTTTGTATTTTGTTACAGTCACAGTGTGACTAAATCATAAAATGCAAATCTTAAAATTTTGGACACAGACTAGTTCTCCTTTAATAATTAATTATAATACATAATAATAATATAAAGAAAGGAAATACACAGTAAAAAAAAATCACTCAAATTTCACTTAAGAACGGAAATTGAAGTCCCGTTTCATCTAACAAAGTACTACAATATTCATATAGATGTCGCTACAGGAAATACGTTTATAGTAAAAATAGTACGATTATTTCATTCATTCAAATTCCGGCAAAACACACCTAAAAAAAAAGAGAAAATGCCAGGTGCACGCACACGTGCACGATAATGAGTTGTCCGGCCTATACGTCCATCCCACTCTCTTGCTATCTCATAATTGCATATGAAAAGAGAAGGGTAATAAAATAATAAAAACTCCAATTTGCGGCCGCCGGTTTTTTGTTCTGAAAATATTTCTATTTTCTATCTTCTACATATTATTATGTACATATTTACAAAAAAGGAGGATGGCAAGTGGTTGTACAAATTTATAATATTTGCAGCCAACTAAAAGTTTTATTTCATATTATTTTCTACATTTTAGTACTTATATGGATTCGGACCAGAGTAGGTGCGAATGTAATTATTTCTTGTATGGATCTTTGAGCTGTTATCTTTTATTGTTGCGTTGTGGCTGCGAAATATTTTATTTGTGGAGTTTACTATTTTTTATATGAAGGAAAAAACATTAACAGAGTAAGTATTACAATTTGCTAGGCATAGTTGTACTTAGTACTAAATTCAAGTAAATAATAGATATTAAAATAAATATGTAGGTATTGTATTTGATTATTTGAAAATAAAAATTACATATGCGACAATGGACTTTCCGCTTACTTAGCCGTAATATAAATATGACATATTGTCGTTGCAATGCACATACAGGCTGTTCCAATAGTGTGACAAAGTTTATAATTATTTTCAGTTATAGTTGTATAGGGCAAAATCTTCAGGCCAAAAACAAGATTTTCTGAACGTTTAATTCGGTCTGAAAATAATGAATAATGGAAATAATAATAAAATGTGAATCCGAGCAAGTAACTTTTTTCGTATCACTACTACAGGCAGTTATACTAAACTTTATCGCACTATTGTGGCACCCTATATATGACTAGATATATCATTATGGTAAATCAAAAGCATAATAGGTAAAAATGTATAATTATCTATGTTTATAACAAATATTATCTGGTAAAATTCTTTTCTTACTTTCAGATACGGAACCGGAAGAAGTCTATATGTTATTTCGTAATATACCTATAGTGGTGAAAACAACCCACTCTATGTAGAACAAATTAAGAAATATGAAGAATTATGGAAAAAATCAATGGCAACAAATTTGGAACAATTTTATAAAAATTGTATACTACCAGAAATAATATACAAAAATATTCCACAGGGAAAAAGATGTATGGATCCAGAATATATTATAGAAACTCAAATTAATAAAAAGAAATAATTTTATTTTATGAATTTTTAAATTTTTTCCTGTTCTACTGTACCTATTCTATTTACTTCTTTATTACTTTCATTTATTTACATATTTATTAAACTACACTGTTCCACAGAATTTCTGTTTATATTGGAGGTATTAAAGTACCTATAAGACAACTATTTTTTCAATTGAAGTGAACTGAATTACCTATTTCTCATAAAAAAAATTTAGACTCAAATCGTCCTTTTGTACATAATTCTTTACACATTTTTTGGACAAAATAAGTATATCGTACATATTTTTTATATTTTCTCATTATTATGTATATTCACAATTAAAATTCTATTTATATTAATATGCAAATTTTTTTTATCAAGAATTACTTAATATTAATTATTAAAAATATAATATTTTCCATTTCTGTTTATACCAAAGTAAGCCGCTTTATTCACAAATCGTAATTATAACGTAACTTTCCGTTATGAACAACTTTTCTTATTAACATTTTTTTTATATTATCAAAAACAAAAGCAGTTTATTCTTCAACGTTATTAATTTTGTTAAATTTCTGATCACCCTGTATATATATTTATTACAGTTTTTCATGACAAACGTATTCAATTAAAAAGCAAAATATTTTTTGTCACGAATTACTTTTTCTAGTAGAATAGAAAATAAAAATGTTTTCCCTCTTATCCACTAACCGTAGATACTAATATAGGTATATTAATTATAAATTATGGTTTTAAATAAACTAAAAATTGTTTATATTTCATATTTTCTAAAATTATATAATAGTATGGACTTGCACTGTTACTTATATACTTTTATACAAAAATATATCTAAAATGATCATGACATTCTTTAAATATTTACGTATCAATTAACAGAAACCATGACTACCAATTCAGAATCAGGTTATACCAAATTAACCACATACAACAGCTGTTCGTTAAAAATAACCCGAGTCCATTCATAAATAAATTTTTACTAGTGCGACATCTATTACAAATCAAGCGAATTAAAAGTCGGAGATAATGCTATTCATGAATGAATATTTTTTAATAATTTTATTCCAATATAACTTTTTAAATAATAAAGTGATGAACAAACTATGAAATAAAGTCTAATCAGTTTATTTATTTAAAGACAACTATATAAAAAATTGCATAATTCTACAATACTATGAAGAAATATTCGTTTCTTTGTAAAAGTCCAAAAAACCTTCATATTTAGAAATTAATTTCTCACGAATTATTTACCTATCCCAATTAATGTTTGCTTTACTGTCTTCATTTATACTTTGGCAAATGTGATATGAAATTTTACTACTTTCTTCCATTGCTTTAAAAAGATATATTGGAATTAAAAAGGGGCTGTTTTCTATCATTTTTCGGTATAATTTAGGCAACCAGAAATGCATCAGTTTCCCGTATCAATTTCTGTCCACACCCGAAAAAATCATAAATAATCACAAATTATTTTGACATGTGTTTTATGTTGTAGAACATAAAAGTATTTTTATTTGGTGATAAAAAAGACTGGCTGTGTTAACTGAAAATTTAACGAAAACATCGACTTTTGATGACGGTTTTCGAAAAAAGTATAATGGTTCATAATATGGTATTACATCCTGTACATGATTTGCTAAATTTTTATTTTTATCACTGGTGGTCAAAAAATCAATTATGAAATTTTTGTGGTTATTAAAATAATATTAAATTTAATAACGATTTTTGGGTTTTAATTGGCATCAAACACATTAAGCCTGTGTCATCTTAAATTAGTCACATCCTGCAGATCACCTTGCCGGTTTCTTTGAACTACTGCACCAACGAATTCGCTGTACATGACGTGCTTTTCTTACTGTTTAATTAAACGTTGATGCTATGCAAAAAAAATAATTCACATCGTTTTTTTCCAGACGCCATAGTTATCTAACCATTTACCAACGTGGATAGTTTTAAACGTCTACTGCATCTAGAACTTCTAGGTGCAATGCTGTATACGGCAATGATATCTATAATATGTATGGCTGCCAAGCTTAACCGTATACACTCCCTGAAAACCAGTTTCATTTGAACAAGTATAAGTAATTTTTTACAAGGAATAAATTACTGACGAAATATATTCCACAGTACCACCTAATTAAAAATTAAATCACACCTACGGAGTATGACTAACTTGTTTGCTTTATGCCTAAACTATTTCCTGATAAATATGGCACGCCTTTTTAAACCATTCCTCTGGCAAAGCCAATAAGACTGGCAAGACAAAATATGTTTGTCGTAAGCGACTGCAATATAATGACTTATGGCTAAATGAATATGTCCAGCGCGTATTTGTAATTGCTTCGTTTGAATTAAAGGTCGATAGTGACCGGTTCGTCTAGCTGGTATGGCAAGAAAGTGTACAAGGTGTTTGGTGTATACGTACTTGTATTTTTTATAACACCATTAAAAGGTGTTATGCGCCGATTTATAAAATAAACTTAGGTATACATTTTTGTAAAAGAATTTTTTTATATACAGGGCGTCTCAGAAATAAGTGTCAACATTTTTAATACGTTTAACATTTAACTCAAATTTAAAGTAACGACTTTTGTTTAACAATTTTTTTCTAAATCTCACATTTTTCTCCGGTACTTTACGTCCTTTAAAATAATGCTGCCTATGAATTAAAGAAAACTTAAGCAATGTATGCGAATCTTTTATTAAAAAATGTTTGTTAGGCTAAGTACTAAATCAGCACTAACTAATTCATTA